TAGTGTCATTTCCTTTCTATTCTTTGAAAGGGTGTCCTCAAGCTCTCCATGAGCTTTACAAGTCAGTTCATAGGTCATTAGTGACCCAATTAGTTTTTCGAGAGAAAAATTATTTAGATCTTTGGCCTCTTGAATGGTCGTTACTTTAGGGTCCCAACTCTTTGGAAGGGGTCTTAAAATTTTATTAACAAGTTCAAAATCTGAGAAACTTTTACCAAGTCCTTTTATACCATTGACGACATCCGTAAATCGGGTGTACATGTCTCCAATGGTCTCACTCGGTTTCATCTGAAATAATTCATAAGTGTGCACTAAAAGATTAATTTTTTACTCCTTCACTCTACTAGTGCCTTCATGAGTCACTTCGAGTATATGCCAAATATCAAAAGTCGTTTCATAAATCGACACTCGATTAAACTCGTTTTTATCTAATGCACAAAACAAGACATTCATAGCCTTGGCATTTAAAGTGAAACTCTTCTTCTCCAACTCATTCCAATCATTCATTGGAAGAGAAGACTTTTGAAAATCATTTTCGACAATGTTCCATAGCTCAAAATCCATTAAAATTAGGAAGATCTTCATTCTAGTCTTCCAATATATGTAATCCGTCTTGTTGAACATGGGCGGACGTAAAATTGAATGACCCTCTTGGTTGTCGTCAAATGCTATCTCTCTTGGGTTTTAAACCAAACGAGAGTGAACCTTGCTCTGATACCAATTGTTAGGATCAAAAGCAGCACTAAGATGAGGGGGTGAATTAGTGTAGCAAAAAATTCTTTGATTTTGTAAAATATTTCGTATGTTCGATGGAAATCGATTCGGAAAGATAGCAACTTGAAACGTAAGTGAGTGTAAGCGTAGTGAAAGCAAGATGAGGAGGAGAAGAAGTTTGCTATGAAATGATTTATAGTTAAAGTAAATTGCTCAAAATGAAATGCAAACCAGAATTTAGAGTGGTTCTGAGGAGGAGAAGCAGTTTGCTATGAAATGATTTATAGTTAAAGTAAATTGCTCAAAATGAAATGCAAACCAGAATTTAGAGTGGTTCGGTCAATGTGACCTATATCCACTTTCGGATTCCTCCTCCGTCGAGGTCACCGGCGTCCACTAAAGGCCTTCCTTCAATAGGTGAAGACCAATCATCTTTTGCAGCTCTTTCTCCTTTTGCCGAGTTTAGGAAAGAACCCTTACAAGTCTCACACCTCTCTTGAATGATCTCAAAATTAGAAAGGGAGGAGGAGGACTCTAGCACTTGTTTACAATACTTTTACATCACAATAACTCAAGATTATCATCACACTTCGGTGCCTTTTCATGTAGAAAAGAGTGGGGTATTTATAGGCCTCAATGGCTTTAAAAAATGAAGCCAAACAGTGTCTCATCCTAGATTTCTAAGGTACTGGTGGTACCACCGCCTATCACCTGACACTGGATGGTACCATCGCCAATCTAGGCGGTACCACCACCTAACAGAGCTCGGAGATCGAGCTCTGGCGGTACCACTGCCTGACAGGGGTGATACCACCATTGGTAGCTTTTATTGTCGATGGTACCACCGCCCAAACCACCTGGTGTTGCTTTCCAAGCGATGCCACCGTCGGCCAAGAATTTAGTATCATGGTTGGGCCTTGAATCTGGCCCAAACCAGCCCAACTCCGATCCTAGTTGGCCCCTAAAAGAGTTGATGGGATTATCTCCCAAATCAACTCTAATTATCGTTCTAACTATGATTAAGGCAAGCATGCTTCGGTACGTCAATTTTTCACTTGGTGATCCTCCGGCAAATTTTTCGGAGAGTCTTCCAACGAGTTTTCGGTGAACTCCCGACCAACTCTCGGCTAGTCTTTCGGCGTACTTCCGACGAGCTTTCGACGAGTCGTGCTTCCGGTGATCTCATGATGAACTCTCGGCGAGCTCCCGGTATATCATCTGAGTCTTCGACTCCGGCCCATCATCTGGTTTACGCCTTACTGCTACTGTAATTAATCTTACACACTTATTTCAACACAAGGATTAGATCAAATAATTTACCAATTGATTTCTTCATCAAAATCCAAGATTCAACATATGATTTTAGATGAAAAAGAAGGGTGAGGAGAAGAATAGATAGAATAGGACTTTTACCCTTTAAAAACTCTTTTCTCATTTGAGAACTTTCTCCTTGCTTACACATCTTACCTAAGATTTTTCATAGCTATAAACTCTCAGTTCTTCGTTCATCCCATCCAAAACGTGAGGTTTATAATATTTTAATAAGGATGGATATCTCTTAGCTAAATGTCATGTCTTCTTTAGAAGAGTGATGAGTAGATATCTATAGGATGAGGATAAGTGTCAATTATTACATAAATGTTATGTATCCTCCTTTTAGAAGAGAGAGACGGGTTATGATTGATAAGATAAAAATATATATCATAATTCTTTACCGTGTACACTTTATAATATATACATAATATCCCATTTAATGATCTCATAAAGTTGAAGCCAAATTTAATATAAACATATAACATATTTATATTTTATTATAATTTACTAAAAAATATGTACATCTTTCATTAATATTTAGGCTCATATCAAAATGTAATAATCCGAAGCTCTTGTTCTCTCCGACCGATCCCCCATCACTTCTGATACTTAATGTTTTTGAGTACTCTGAGGAATACTTGGCCAGACGTGGCTAATGATCAAAGTCCGGGAGCCCCAACTCAACCGTGGTAAATCGACCCCATCTTAACGTGGAAAGACCTTCAGTGGAGCCCCTCCACCCTGTCCCTCGACTTCCACCGTGCAGGTCTCTCCGACTCCAGATGCGCTCTCTCTCTCTCTCTCCTATCAACTCAGCCATGAAGGACTCTATCAGCAAGCAGCTGCTCCGACTGCGCCTCAATGGCTCAACCAATCATTTCAAGCAATAGCATGACAAGCTTGCAGAATGAGGTCGGCGACGGCCGGTTTACAGGTGACCTAGAATCAGCTCTGCGGGCGAAGGGCAGCGCCTCGGCCTTGGCTCAGTTGGTTTTGGTCACTGGTCTCCATTGAGCCATTGATGATGTGTTTCGGATTGTTCATGCGCAAGGATTTGGATTTTCGTCAAGAACTCAGCATGGTCGATCATTTGTGGATTATTTTTCTATAGTTTCATCAGTGCAAATATTAGTCTCATTTATTATCATGCCGCTGTCGAGGCAAAACAAAACAGGGGATCGATCATCACATGATGATGCTGGCCCGCTGTGCCATTGAATCCGGACCGTGTTCCACCCCGACGGGGACTCGTACGTTCCCCGAAGCTAACATAGCACGTGACCAAACATGTGACATCCAAGACACTCAATTCTTGCGCCGGTCGTCCTACCTGTGGTAATAGCTTGCTTTCTTTACTGAATAGCAGAGAACGGGACCCACTTCCAACTCCAATAACTAGGGAGGCAGAAGCAAAGGGTATGACGAGTAAGGCGTCGAAAAGCAGTTTTGGCCAACACATCCCGTGCAAGGAACCCAATTCGGTGGGATGGTGGATTCCCCTCCAAAGCATGTGAGGCGGGGCCCACCGACCTGCGATCGGGACGAGGGAGTGGTTCCCTGGGGCCACTTAACCGCTGGATTTAAGCAAGTCGAGTTGGTCCCGTGATCAATGAAGGCGATGAAATATGATGGCATCGCCTGTTACTAAGATTGACCCAACCTTTTAATTAGATTTTTGTTGCTGTGTTTGTTGTGCCGAGAGTCAGTACGGCTCAGTTGGATCATGAGAATATAAGATCGTGCATGTGAATTTTTGAGGTGAGAGAATCGATGTTAGGTCGGGTTGGAGCGCCATCTGCTAGATCAACCCAAGATAGAGCAAGGACTTGGATTCTTGCTTCAACGCCGCCTCCCTACACAAAAGATTAATGTCATGAGGGAAATTATGAACTCAATCCCTTCAAAATTTAAATCAGTATCCATAGTGTTGGGAGGGGGTTTTCGAGTGTTCAAGTGCCTCCCTTGGCACCGGCCAAAAGGCTAACTTTTATATAAGCAATTGAGGTCGATTGTACACAGTTCGTTAATGATCATTGACACCTCATGCTATCGTCCTGTACATTCCACATGAGGTTGATTGAGTTGGACGGCTCTGTATCATGCGACGTCGCTTCACGTATTCCTAAGTGGTTTCATACTATGCGAGCGACGTAAACACAATCGACTATCTTGTACGGGTCTATACTGACAGCACGATTACAGGTGATTATCGCGGGTGGGTCAAAGATGTCACATCAGTGCATGTGCATCGTATCAGTTTCGAGGCTCTAACGTGATAGTTGATCGTAATTACAGGAGATACTAAAATATGCCCTATCAGGATTTATCAACGGTGGCCAGACGATCAACAATCTGTTTGATTAAGCAACTAGCGAAGACACTGCTACGTGGAGTAATGTCTTCCTGTCCACAGCACAAGCAACATACAGTATTTTCATCTTACACAACATTTCAACCCATGTCTTCTGCCGGATGATGAGCTCCTCGTTCCCATGTCACATAGCTACGTTTTGCAATCGTGATTAAGATCAGACGGACACCATACCATTGGCTTGTTCCTGCACCTCTCTTTGGTGGCCCGCTCTCCCTCTCCCGCTCCCGTTCCCGTTCCCGTTCCATCTCTTATCTGATAAAGTGGGGCCCACGTCGAGTTTCTTGTCGAGCCTTTGCTGCCTCCAACAAGAGAGCAGGGAATCCGACGGGTACGAAGAATTTGGTAAAACTTTATTTTTCTTTTTCTACTGTTGTTTTCGGTCTATTTTGAGCGCAGGCGTTCGCGGCGTCGGATAATGACACGCCCAAACCACACGCACCCGTGCCTCCGGTTTCCGCTCCTCGCACTTCCTCATCTACCCCTCGCTAGCTCGTCTAATTTCAAAGAATACCCGAAATGCAACTTCCCATCGCAGTAATTCCATTATATAGTGGAGGTTAAAACCGTCCGAAAGGGGATATAAACCCAGAGCCGAGGACACAGCCAGGCGAGCTAAACCTCGAACGCCACTCCAAAGGCTAGTTATGGCTCCGCGTCCTCTCTCTTCTGTCGCCGTCCTCCTCCTCGTCGCCGTCGCGGCCGCGTGGACTGGAGGCGCCGATGGGTGCCCAGCGTCCGACCGCGCGGCGCTTCTGGCCTTCCGCTCCGCCCTGTCTGAACCGTACCTCGGGATCTTCTCGTCGTGGAAGGGGAAGAACTGCTGCTCCCGGTGGTACGGCGTGAGCTGCGATCCCACCACTGGGCGCGTAGCCGACATTACCCTCCGCGGCGAGTCGGAGGACCCCATCCTCGCCCGCGCAGGCCACTCCGGCGGCCTCATGTCCGGCCGCATCTCACCGGAGATCTGCCTCCTGGACCGCCTCACCACCCTCATCCTCGCCGACTGGAAGCAGATCTCTGGGCCTATCCCCCCTTGCATCACCTCCCTCCCCCTCCTCCGCATCCTCGACCTCGTTGGCAATCGCCTCTCCGGCTCCCTCCCCGCCGACATTGGCCGCCTCTCCCGCCTCACCGTCCTCAACGTCGCCGATAACCAGATTTCCGGCACCATCCCATCCTCCCTCGTCGCCCTTTCCTCCCTCATGCACCTCGAGCTCAGTAACAACCAGATCTCCGGCACCATTCCTACCGACTTCGGAAACCTGCGAAAGCTCAGCCGCGCACTCCTCGGCCGAAACCGCATCTCCGGCGTAATCCCCGTATCCGTGGGCCACATGACTCGTCTTGCCGACCTCGACCTCGCCGAGAACCGTATCTCCGGGGATATCCCCGCGAGCCTGGGGTTCATGCCGGTACTATCCTCCCTATACCTCGACTCCAACCGGCTCACCGGCCACATCCCAGCGGCGCTGCTCGCGAGCAGGGGGCTCAGCATCCTAAACCTGAGCCGGAACGCCATCGAAGGGGAGATACCGGACGTGTTCGGCTACCGGTCATACTACACGGCGCTGGATCTGTCGTACAACCAGCTGAGAGGCAGCGTGCCGAAAACGCTGGTGACCGCGGCGTACGTAGGGCACTTAGATCTCAGCCACAACCACCTCTGCGGGGCCATCCCCGCCGGCTCCCCGTTCGACCACCTCGAGGCCGCCTCCTTCGCCAACAACGACTGCCTCTGCGGCGGGCCGCTGCCGGCTTGCCGGTGAGCCCGGCATGGAGATCCGGGCGACTGCTTCTTCGTGTTGTGTGTTATTCTTGCTTACGAGTGTTATTATCAGAAGCGCATGCACGTGAAAGTAAAACAGGGGGAGGGGAGAGAATGTATGTTAATGTGTGATGCTCTTTGTAGTTTTTACTTGGTGAGTGTGGGCAGCTTCTTTGGGTACTAACTGTGGACAATATCATCGATATGAGTACAGCAGTCAATTTAAATTTGATCTTCGGACCAAGTAAATTTGACTTGTGGTGATTCAGAAGAACCGTGCTTCACATGTTGGCACGCCAATAAAGAAGAAGAGTATGTGTTTGGATAAGATATGGCCGCACACGGATGCTGGACGCAGACTTGGAGGAGAAGCCACGTGAGACATGATGAGAGTGTCGGGTAGTGGGACTGGTGCGCATGTGGAGCGGGGACCGGAGCCAGTTCTGGAGTGGCAGGGACGGTGGCGGTGGGCGGGATTTTACTGGAATCGGATGACTTCCAATTGGCATGAATCATGGAACCCGGCAATGAGCTGGTCTAAAAAGAGACAATTAATCATACAGTTGTGATAGGGGTAAAAAAATTGATTTGACATAACACCCCGGATTTGACGTAATACACCCCCACGCCGGACACCCTGTGCGGCACGTGGCTCCTGAACGAGCATTAACGACGATACGACGCGCACCTACACCCACCATACCCAAGCAACATCCTCGGCTGACCCCTCGTGGCCTGTCAAGGTAAGGGAAGGCGCTGACTGACACCCCTCATACCCTGCGGCAGCTCGGCCTTCCACGCAACGACCACAACAACAGACGCCATCAGAGGTACGGCCCCGCCCCGGTAGGATGGCACACCAGGTAACGTCAAACCCACTTATAAATACCCCCTGGCTCCCAACAGGAAAGGGGGGGACAATCTCACAAAAATACTCCACTCTGCTTCACTAACTTAATCGTCGGAGGGGCCGGGCCGAGCAACGGGCCCGACCTGTGTGCAGGTACTTGACCGCCACTTAATCCGCCCGACGCCCCGAGACTTTCCGGCCAGCGGCCTCTGTGCCAACCACCGCAACTATCCAAGAGGAGCCACGTCTGATCCCAGTCATTTGGAGCCCTGAACCGGCCGCGTCGACCCCGAGGTCACGGTTGAGAAAGTTACTTACCATAACAGATTGGCGCTAGAAGGAGGGCCATCCAAATGTCAAGCGATCAGCAGATCCACTTCGGCAGACCCTCGACGACCGGGCCCCCCGCCTCGGGGGAACACCCCCTACATAATGAAACCCACGACGAACGCCCCGCGGCGGTGTCAGAACGCTACTGGCAACTGTTCAATGACCCAGGCTTGACACCTCCCGGCGACACACCCGTCGGCCCGTCGCAAGTGTCACCCGAGGCCTTCCATGACCTCGCCCACCAGGTCCGAGCCCTGACAAACATCGTCCAGACTATCGTCCCGATCGTCTCCCCACAAGCCCCTCCGCATGCGACCCGACCCACGCAGCAACGGGAGCCCCCTGTCCGGACTCACACCCCGCTTCCAGAGCTTCCTGTCTCGCCCCGAAACCCGCAACGC